GACACTTTCATTAATTGATTCATAACCCTTTCTGATGATTAATGGTTTGGCCAACATTTAATTATTAGTTAGGAACCCCTTTTATTGGTTTTACTATATTGCTTGTAGGGACGCCTCAAGTATTGTAGTTGTGCTAGATTTGATGACTCTGCAATAGAGCAGAGTTTCTATTCATAATACAAATTTTTGTTTGAATTATTCAAATCATTCATTTGCTTGAATTATTCCAATCATTTGTTTGTTTGAATTATTCAAATCATTTGTTTGTTTGAATTATTCAAATCATTTGTTTGTTTGAATTATTCAAATCATTTGTTTGTTTGAATTATTTAAATAAATTATTTATTCAAATTGTATCATTCGTTTATTACTCAAATTGTTATCACTTGTTTATTATTTGAATTGTTATCATTCTTTTATTATTTGAATTGTTATCATTCTTTATTATTTGAATTGTATCATTCTTTTATTATTTGAATTGTTATCATTCATTTATTATTCAAATTGTTATCTATCATTCGTTTATTAGTTGAATTCTTATTATTTGTTTATTATTCAAATTGTTATCATTCTTTATCATTCGAATTGTACTATTCGTTTATTGTTATCATTCGAATTGACATCATTCATTTATCAATCAAATTGACATCATTCATTTATCATTATAATTGACATCATTCATTTATCATTTGAATTGTTATCATCATTCATTTATCATTTGAATTGTTATCATCATTCATTTATCATTCGAATTGTACTATTTGTTTATTGTTATCATTTGAATTGACATCATTTGTTTATCAATCGAATTGACATCATTCATTTATCATTCGAATTGTTATCATTGTTGTATGTGAAATTGAAATTATGTGAATTTGAAATATTATGGAGTGGGGTGAAATTCTGATTGGCTAATTTGAATTTCACACATGTAAATTTGAATTTCACGTATGTGAATTGCGAATTCACATAATTTCATTTTCACATACAACATCATCATTCATTTATCATTCAAATTGACATCATTCATTTATCATTCAAATTGACATCATTTGTTTATTATTATTATTCAAATTGACATCATTCATTTATTTATTATTTGAATTGTTTATTCAAACTATTTGTTTTGCTTGAATTATTCATTTTATTTCATTTATTTGTTTTATTGTTCAAATTGTTGTCATTTGTTTATTCGAACTATTTGTTTATTTATTTTATTCAAACTATTCATTTATTCGTTTTGTTTGAAATATTCGAATTATTTGTTTTACTCAAATTATTTGTTTTACTTGAATTATTCATTTTATTCAAACTATTTGTTTATTTGTTTTGTTTGAAATATTCGAATTATTTGTTTTATTTGAATTATTTGAATTATTATTATTTTTTTATTTGTTTTATTTGTTTTATTTGAATTATTCATTTAATTTATCTTTTTTGAATTATCAAATTATTCATTATTCATTTTATTCAATGTAATTCAAATACTCAAATTCATAACGAGTAAAACAAATAATTTGAATAAATCCTTATTCAAATAGAAACTCTAATACTAATCAAGCAGTATAGTTGTATGTAGTGATTTTAATTTAGTTTTCCAGATTTGGTGACTCCAATAACTCTGATTGCATGCCTGCAATATTTATTACAGTTTTACAACTTTAGGGTGTCAATGCTGAATTGTTGTAGTTCAGGTAAAATTTTAATTTTTTTTTAGATAAATCTAAATATATTTAATATTA